CATATTTTGGCTCTCGTGGACTTGTTTTCATTTTCTTCAACATCAGTTTGAATTTGCATATGAGTAATTGATGGTCTGTTCCACAGTATGTCCCTGGCCTTGTTTTGACTGATGATATGGAGCTTTTCCATCATCTCTTTCTGAAGATGTAGTCAACTTGATTTCTATGTATTCCATCTGATGAGGTCCATGTGTATAGTCATCTCTTATGCTGTCTAAAGGAGGTATTTGAAATGAACAAATCATTGGTTTTGCAGAATTCTATCATGCATTCTCCAGCATCATTTCTATCATCAAGGCCATATTTTCCAACTACTGATCCTCTTTGCTCCCAATCTCTGCATTCCATTCACCAGCAATGATCAATACATCTTGATTGCATGTTTGAGCAATGTCAGATTGAAGAAGTTGGTAGAATTCTTCTATTTCATCCTCACTGGTTTTAGTGGTTGGTGCATAAATTTGAAAAATAATGGTTTTAAACTGGTCTTCCCTGTACACATGGATATTATCCTATCACAGACAGCATTGTACCTCATGACTGATCTGGATATGTTCTTTTGGACAATGAATGCAACACCATTCCTCTTCAATGTGTCATTCTCGGTATAGTAAACCATGTGGTTGTCAGATTCAAAATGGCCAATGCTAGTCCATTTCAGCTCACTTATGCCTAAGATATTGATGTTGATGCATTCCATTTCATTTTTGACATCTTCCAAGTCTCCCAGATTCATACTTCATACATTCCATGTTCCAATTTTCAATGGATGTTTACAGCTGTTTATCTTCATTTTGAGTTGTGCCCCATCAGCAAATGAAGGTCCTGCGGGCTTTTCTCCCACTAGCTTTACTCCATTCACGTCATCACGGTCAATTCTACTTAAAGGAGGCAGCTCTTCCCCAGTAGCATTTTGAGTGCCTTCCAACCTGAGGGGCTCATTTTCTGGCACTACATCTGACAGTGTTTTCTCTGCTATTCATAAGGTTTTCAGTGACTAAAGATTTGGAAGTAGTTTGTCACTCTTTGTTCCTAGTCTGTCTTTGTCTGGAAGCTCATCTGAAATCTGTCCACCACGGGTGACCCTGCGGGTATTTAAAATACCGGTGGCATAGCTTCCAGAATCACAGCAACTCACAAGCCACCACAGTACGACAAACTGACAGAACGAGTGGTGGCCGTGAGTTAATTAAATGTTTAACCAAACACAGGAGGCTAATTTTTAAATTAATATTTTTACATGGCCCATATACGATTTGCTAAATTTTGGCAGAAAAAAAGGTTCCCCTAGTGAATAATTGCTATCAAAACTCACTGCGAGGGTTAGAAATGTAAATGTAGACATTTTGTATCAAAAGGAAGGCAGTGGTTGATTTTGCAGTCCAGGAGTGGAGGTCCCTGGGA